TTATTAATTAAGACTGATTATTTAATTACACGCCTGATTGGACACCTCAGGTGCCAGCCCACAAATGATTGACAAGTGGGGTGGAGTTTGCATGTGGCATTTCATAGATGGGCATTTAATGAGGAATGTTTTTTTTTTTTTTTGCTAGCTGTGTTAGCTTTTAGCACATCATAGGGATTACTTTTGGCTACCACCACACCAAATTTCAGCTCAGTATTTATAAAATTAGCTGAATTGTAGCTGTTTGAAATCAGCTTTAACGGCCATCTTGGATTTTGTATTTGAAACCAGATTGTAAAAGAYTGTTTCTCWGTGACTACGTCGCTAATTTTCAGCCGTGTCTTTAAAAAAGGCTCAATTATAGCCTTTTGTGCAATTAGCATTGGCATTAGCAGTTATCTTTTTTGGATCATTCTTATGTATGTTCACACATTTCAGCTCAAAATTTCTTAAAACAGCTGAATTGGAGCTATTTGAAGTTAGCTGCGGTGGCTATCTTGAATTTTTATATCCAAAGTGGTTTTATTTATTTGTATGAACCCCACTAAAAAACATCTGGGCCACCCCATGCAAAAAAAGTCTAGCTCCGGCCCTGCTGGAGTCACTGGTAAGAGGTGGGTCATGATGAACGAGGCGAATCACCAGGGGCCACTCCGGGTGAGATGGTTTTTAGGTGTCCAATTTTAAACAATTTCTGACAAGATATTTGAATTAAGCAATGGTTTCATTAAAATAAAATAATTTGATTAAAGTAAACCTTTTCTTCTAGGTGCTCCAGCTGCTTTTGTTTCTGCCTAAATTATCTCTAAAGTGTTTGGATGAACATCTACATTTATCTGGTTTAAAGGCAGACATGTTTGTAATGACATCCACGCTGCTCCAACCCCCCCGGGTCCAACGGAAGCTCCCGGGCTGGAGGAAGTGCCAGAATCCTTTGTGGTCCAGGTCCGTCACGGATTAAGTGTATCGCACCCTAAATGCAGGCCTTTTCACCGGAGGATTTCCCAAAGGCCAGCCCCACTGGGGGCCCTGTCACCCAGATTCAACACACTGTCACAGCACCCCCCCCACCACCACCACCACTCCCCAACCCCACCACTACCACCAGGATGCAGGAGATGCTGGGAGACACTGTGCCCCCCAGAGACAAAGCTAATAGTTACTAAATGAGTTTAGAGGCAGAGCTTCAGGCTGATCATCGACCTGCTTCACTTGTTTTTGACCGTTTATAACGAAGTCTTCCCTGTAAGGCTATGATCCACTGCTGTCGCCTTTACTCCTCATCAACAGGAAAATAGATAAAAACTAACAACTCTATCATACCTGCTGGTTAGTGGACACAACGACACACAACAGAACTCACATTTTATACCAGTAGTTCACAGATGCTTTAACTTTTGTGACTTTTTCACAGACTAGCAGCTAACGCTAAAAACATAGGCAGTAACCAGGAAGTGGAAGGGAAGTGCGTGGCTGGAATTTTAACAGAAATACGTCATCAATGGCCGTGGCATATAGGCTGTTGAAAACCTGTGGTGGAAATTGAAAAAAATGGTCCACAAGAAGCTCCGCCCTGCAAAGCTGATCTGGTAACCGCTATCAAAGAGAGTTGGCACCAAACTGATGAAGAATATGGTTTATCACTCATCAAGTCCATGACTCAGAGACTGCAGCTGTTATAAAAGACAAAGGTGGTGCAACTAAATACTAGTGATGTATTTTGAACGGTCTTTTGTTTATCTGTTTTTCATGATTCCATACTTTTTTCCCTCAGAATTGAGTG